TGTTAATTTATTATTGCTTTATTTGAATCAAATTCTATTTTGTTGGTTGGATTGACCATGAAATCGAGATGAAGACGTACTTACTGTGCTTTTACGCTTGAGGATATGTTTCACATTATTTTGTCGATGTTTATTAATGGTGCACTGAAGTTGAATAGTTGCAATAATGGACAAATGTCCAAACTTGTTTTTTTTATTGTTTGTTGGGATTTTGAATTAATTTTACTCCTTTTTAATTTCTTTATTTAAAGCTAGTTGAGAATTGCAAAAATATTGATGCCTACCAGTAATGGACGCCTGTGTCCATTATTGGGTATTATATAGAAATCCAGTTATGGACATTGAAGCAAAATAATACAGAAATTTTCTTTTATTTTAGAAATGGCGCCAAAAAAAAATTATACACCTCAACAAATGGGCTGGGCTATCGAAGCTGTTAGAAAAAGCGCACAAATATCTGAAGCAGCCAAAAAATGTAACGTGCCTAGAATAACATTACGCAACAAAATCACAGGAATAAGTCCCATAGAGTGTCCAATGGGACCCAGTACCATTTTGTCGAAGGTAGAAGAAAACATTCTAGAAGATTGGATAAAACATATGGCAAATAAACATATTCCAATAACCAAAGAGGAATTATTAGATAGTGTTCAACGTGTAATAGTCGACAAAAACCAGGAGACTCCTTAAATATCTTTATCTTTAACATAACGTTATAATTAATTGGTAATAGATGAGAATACCCTATTTTCATTATAACAACCGACAATGCACCGAATATGCAAAATGGCGTCAAACAGCAGTTGGGTTTAAAAAAATAAGGTTGTTTCGCCCACACATTAAATCTTGTGATGGAGAAAGCCTTGGAGATTGACACGGTAAAATCGACTATTGAGAAGGTCAAAGCTGCTGTTGCTATGGATTTATAGCAATTGGCCTCGCGCAACCCAAGAGGCTTCTTCAAGCAGTTCCTACGCGGTGGAACTCTGTGTTCTTTATGTCAGAACGTTTCTTGGAATGGCAGGAAGCACTGCGAAGTACAGCGGGCTTGTTGGACAGATACATACCAATGTTATCTGTTGAATAATGGAAAATATGCAAGGACCCATGTACCATTCTGAAACCCTTACAAGAAGTCACTCAACAAATGAGTGGTGAGGAATATGTTACTTACCACATTGAAGTTATACAGTCCAGTCAGAAGTTAAAGATATTGAGAGACCCTTGAAATGAAACCACTTTGCAGTAACTGTAAGATGTATGTCATGTACTGAACATATAGATGATTTTAAAAAAGAAGAAATACGTGAACAATTCTGTGGTGTTAAGATAAAAGGGGATGAGTCAGAAATTGTGAAAAATGAGCTAATTACACAGTTGGGTAAAATATATTACTAACTATTATAGTAAAAAGGAGATGAGTCAATATAATGTACTTTATTTCGTGAATCTCAAATAAAAAATACGAGTCTAGTCATAAATAGCAAAACCTAAAAAGTAAAAAGGAGATTTGTCTAGTTATCTTTTTTTTGCATACGTGATCCATTAGTTATAAAATTAGGTATAATGAGATAAGTCGACTTGTGCCTAAATTCATATTCGTCGTTCCGCGTCAGTAGCATTTCGCGCGCGAAGTTGACGTGTTTTTATCAGTGCAACGGTGCAAAAAATCCTAAAATTTTGGTTTATATGGGTATTTGAGTGTTGAAACCTATAGAAATGAATAGGATTAACAAGATAATATCACTGACTCTAAATAGAAGTTCGATTGAACGTAAGTATGATGGATTTATAACTTTTACCTTTCTAACCTTTAAATTTATTATTCGTTGGATGATTACTTACTAAAAGTGTAATTAATATAGATTGTGTGACGTATTAGATAAATAAATATTACAGTCGTGAGCGCCGGACGCACGGGGTGGGGGCTTAAAAAAAAACTTTGCAGTAATCCAGGTTACCCCACAAGTATTTTCCACCGATGCACTAGGCCGTCTTTATACAGTTCATCCCAGTCAAGACGAGTGTTTTTATTTGCGTTTACTGTTAGTCAATGTTCGTGGTCCAACATCATTCCAATATCTGCGAACTGTTAATGGTCTATTGTGTGCCACATACAGAGAAGCCTGTCAACATTTGGGATTGTTAGAGAATGACACTCATTGGGACCACACTCTCGAAGATGCTGTGATTTCGTCAAATGCTAAACAAATACGAACATTATTTTCTATAATTTTGTCTACATGCTTCCCATCAACACCGACTGATTTATGGCATAAATACAAAGATCATATGGCGGAAGATATATTGCATCAGATGCGTCTTAGAACATCGAATGCAGATTTGCAAATGAACGAAGAAATTTACAATGAAGCATTAATTTTAATTGAGGACATGTGCTTGATGCTTACCAACAAAATATTAGCACAAATAGGAATGATAGCACCCAATCGCCCAATGCACGACTCATTTGATCAAGAATTGAGACGCGAAGCCCAATACGATTCCGAAACATTACGAGAAATGGTTGATAGGACAGTTCCCCTTTTAAATCAACAACAAAAATATGCCTACGATACGCTCATGAAAGTAGTGAACGATGGAACTGGCGGATTTTATTTTTTAGATGCTCCCGGTGGAACTGGGAAAACTTTTTTGTTATCATTGATTTTGGCAACGATTCGATCGCAAAATGGAATTGCACTAGCCCTAGCTTCCTCAGGTATTGCAGCTACGTTGTTGGAAGGCGGTCGAACAGCTCATTCAGCTCTCAAGCTGCCGTTGAACCTTCAAATTAATGATACTCCAACTTGCAACCTTTCGAGGAATTCTGCGATGGCCGAAGTGCTGCAGCAAACCAGATTGATCATATGGGATGAATGTACTATGGCACACAAAAAATCTTTGGAGGCATTAGATCGCTCGATGCAAGATTTACGAAATAACAAAAACCGGTTTGGTGGTGCCATGATACTATTGGCAGGTGATTTTCGACAAATATTGCCAGTTGTTCCACGCTCAACGCCAGCTGATGAACTGAATGCGTTTGAAGTCGTCCATTTTATGGAAATACATTAAAACACTTAAATTGAGTATAAACATGAGAGTCGAATTGCAGGAAGACCAGTCAGGAGAAGTGTTTTCCAAACAACTACTCGATATTGGTAATGGTAATATTGCTGTTGATAGATCATCTGGATACATTACATTCCCTACCAATTTTTGTAACTTTTGTGAATCAAAGACCGAACTCATGGAGAAGGTTTTCCCAAACATTGCACAAAATTACGTAAATCACGTTTGGTTAAGCGAACGTGTTATATTGGCCGTAAAAAATGTTGATGTGAACGAAATGAATTTTCAGATTCAAGAGAAAATAGCTGGCGAATTGAAGAATTACAAATCAGTTGATTCCGTTACTAATGAAGATGAAGTTGTGAATTATCCAACAGAATTTTTAAATTCGCTGGAATTGCCCGGGTTACCACCTCATAATCTGCAATTAAAAATCGGATCAGTAATTATTATGTTACGGAACATAAACCAGCCACGTCTGTGTAATGGCACCCGGCTTGCGGTGGAGAAATTATTGAACAACGTCATCGAAGCCACAATTTTGAAAGGGAAGTACAAAGGCGAAGATGTTTTAATCCCACGCATCCCTATGATACCGAACGATATGCCATTCAGCTTTAAGCGTTTACAGTTTCCAGTGCGGCTTGCATTTGCAATGTCAATAAATAAATCACAAGGGCAGTCGCTAAGTGTATGTGGCATCAATCTAGAAAATCCATGTTTTTCACATGGCCAATTATATGTCGCCTGTTCCCGTGTCGGAAAACCATCAGCATTATTTATTTACGCACCAGAACATAAAATTAAAAATATAGTGTACCGAAAAGCATTAGATTAAAGAAACAGCAGCATTAGAATAGAGAGAAACAGTGAAGGGTATAGAGGCTATTAGTTGTTTTCTAGAGCGCGCGTGGTGTTAAGCTCAGTATTTACTTCAAAATGCCAAGTTGTTCAATAGCGATTTGTAAAAATATAAGTGGAATTATTGAATCCTATGGAATAAACACTATTATGAAAATATATATTTTGTTTTGTATTTAATAAAATTAGGTCAAAATCTTTGTTAGAAGAAACCTCAAGATCATTGTTAGAAGCTTTAAACTTACCAAGCGTAGAAAACCAAGAAGCAGTTTTAAAAACAAATACTAATACTGCAAGAAATTCATACTTTGATGAAGAAACTGTTCAGGATCTCTCTAATTTAGAAGTATGTAATAAAGACTCGGTTAGGCAGGATTTGGAAACACCAAACACCAGTCAGAAAGGACGGGCAAAAAGAGGTCGTAAAAGAAAATATCCTGATCATACATTAGCTCAGCAAAAAGAACGAAAATACAAAAATTTACCATACAATGCAAAATCCAAACGAGTTGCATCGAAAGTATTTCAAAACTACGCTTGTACCTGTACTAGACAATGTTTTGCCAAGGTTTCACAAGAACAAAGAAGAACTCAGTTCGAAAAATACATAGAATTGGATACGTATGAAGCGAAGCTATTATTTATAGTAAACAACGTTAAAGAAGAACCAAAATCAAGATCATATACGGTTACAAATAATAAAACAGGAAAAGGAAACCCAGAGATTACAGAAGAAGTATTATTTAAGCGGTGTAGAAGTTTGTAAAGACATGTTCTTACATAATTTTCAAGTATCTTCCAAAAAAATTGATGTAAGTTTGCGAAAAAAGCGATCGAATCAAAGTTTAAAAGACCAAAGAGGTATACAGCAGGGTGGCTGGAATAAAACGCCAGAAGAAGATGTGGAATTTATTAAAAATGTAATAAACTCCCTACCTAAGTACAAGTCCCATTATAGAAGAGAGAACAATAGTGGCTGTGAGTACTTAAAAGTGGGGATGACTGTACAAAAAATTTACGAATTGTATGTAGAAGAAAATAAAAAACTGCACGGCGAATCTAAAAACCTGTTTCGTTTGAAACCTTAAAAAGAATATTTTATAAATATTTTAATTTGCGCTGCAAAACGTTAAAAAAAGACACATGTAACAAATGTGATACTTTCACACAAAAAATAAAAAACTACACATCGGCCAATGAAAAGTTGAAATTGGAGAAAGAAAAGGAAGATCATTTAAATCGAGCACAAGACCTGCGACAATCCATGAATGAGGATTTAGCACGAGCCAAAACAGACCAAACTTTTGAATGCCTAACATTCGACCTTGAGAAAACTCTCCCGTTGCCGCGCATCCCTACCAATATTGTGTTTTATAAACGCCAACTATGGCTGTACAATAGTGGCATACTTGCTGGCTCCAATGACACCGGCCACTGTAACGTATGGTTGGAAGGTGAAGCTGGTCGGGGAGCACAAGAGGTCGGTTCGTGTCTAGTACGATACATAAAACATAAAATGGACCCAAAAGTTGAAGAGCTGGCACTATGGAGTGACTGTTGCGGGGGACAAAATCGTAACATTAAAATAGTTTTAATGCTTAAGGCCTTACTAAACTCACATCCTAGTCTCCAAACCATCACATTCAAATACCTAGAGTCCGGCCACACATTCTTACCGAACGATACCGATTTCTCCAAGATAGAATACCAGCTAAAATTCCATGAAAGAATATATACTGCCGAAGATTACATTAACGTAATGAAAAGCTGTAGAAAGAAGAACCCTCTTAAAGTTTACAGAATGCAGATGAAAGATTTCGTGTCAACGTCTAAAATTGAAAAGAAAATAGTAAACAGAAAAACATTTATTTCGAAAGAAAAAGTGAATTGGCTAAAGACAAAAGAAATTTGTATTAAAAAGAATTTCAAACATTCCATTTTTATGAAAATAGATGGAGTAGTTAAAGAGTTAAACATTGAAAAAAAAGTTAGAGGAAAAGTTTTAGATATTTCTGAGGATGATTTTAATTATCTTTGGCCTGATGGCAAAGAAATTGCACAGGCAAAATTGGACGATTTAACATCAATGTTCCATCTTATCCCTAAAGACTGTCTGGACTTTTACAAGTTCTTAAAAGGAAAAGAATCTGAGGAAGATGTGGATGGGTACGGAGCGGAACCAGATTTTGAGGTGGAGCTGGAGCTGGGTGATGATGAGGAAAAATAGAAATTATATTTTTAGGAACATTCTATTTTTTAATAAATACGTAATTTGCTAAATAATAAGCCTTTTTTTATTTAAATATCAGTTTTTTCACAAGTTTTTGTTACTTGAATCTTTTTTGAGAAATCAAAAAAACACTTCCTAATCTTAAAACCAATTTAGCAGAAACGACTCAAATCAACATTTTTCCCAATAACTCGAAAATAAGTTGGTTTATGTTACTACAGCTTAACTCCTAAATTTGTTGTATATTTTGCCCTTACGTGATTATATTTCAAAATATTCCAAACACAACATTATAACAGCAATACACATGTAAACTTAAAACCTCGATAAGTCAAAAATGACATATTGTGGGCTGAGTCCTTTCAGCTAAACTACGTCCTATTGTACTCATTTGTAGGTATATATTATAATAATGTTTATCATTGCTTGCCTTTTGCACCTACCATTTACTCTTCTCTGCATCACCCAAAGGTCAGACTGGTACAAAATGCCTGCGGCATTAAGTCCACCTTTTTTTACATTTTGTGCATGAAACATATTAAATAAATAAATAATCTGTATTGATGAGGACTTTACACCTAGATGGGATGTGATTGTCATTAAGGGTCTGATGATGATGACTGGTTTAATAATATTGTTTTACCCTGGGCACAAAAAAATCAAGAACTAAACGTATTAATTAAAGATAATTTATCGTCACACTTAAACTTTGAAATAATAAGTAAATGTCATGAAAATAATATTAGATTTGAATTTTTACCTCTAAATTCTACCCATATTACTCAACCCTTAGATGTTTTTTTAGACCATTAAAAAAAGCTTGGAACAATATTCTTGTAGATAGGAAAGTGAGACATCCATCAGCAAATTCCCTTAATAAGCAAATATTTTCAGAATTACTCCGATCACTAATTGATACAATTAAAATGAATTCCTAGTCAATTGTTTAAAATGGATTCAAAGCTACAGGCATTTATCCCCTGCGTCCAGAAGCAGCACTAAGAAAACTTCCAGGTTATAAGGAAAACAAAGAACCAACGACCTTCGATTAAACACTCTTGAATTGTTTAAAGGACTGCAGGTCACCGTCTACAAGCAACACAAAAAAAACAGCGCAATAAAAAACTATGTATGTACATACAAAACCTGGAGAATCTGTCTTTACAGATGATTTTAGATTGAGCTCTATTAATTAATTTATCTAACAATAGACCATCGAAGATCTTGTCTTTATATCAGGAGAATATTTATCCCTGTCTACCCCATTGTAGACAATCCATTGATTTATCGTTTCGCCCATGAAGTCGAACTGGAACATCATAATACAGCTACGGGTACTCATATCTTCATGAGATTTCTTCGTAGTAACTGGATGAAGGCAGATCCTCGTAGCTGTGCACCAGTTACTCTGTTTTAGTGCTGGCACGCCGGAAACTGTCTTACAAGTTAAGTAAATAATCCCTATCAAGTATTTTTTTTTTTTTTTTTTTATGGGACAAGCCCGCCACAACCTCCCAAAACCGCTGCAACTCCTGTAAGCCAGGATCTACAGTAGATACAACCATGAAAACACCGGAACACTGAAGTCCGGCGCGTCCCAGGGACATGAGTAACTGTCTTGGTTCCCGCAACGAAATGAATCAGAAGATATTATAAGAGGAGAAGAAAAAACTATAGTTTCCACTTCCCTCGGTGAATTTCTGCAGGAGACAGAATGAATTAAGCCTAAAGGCACAAAGAAGAGACTGTACAACTGGGTGAAGCCCAGTCGCCAAGCACCACGGAAATTTGACTAAAAAACTAAGTGGGTCCTATGTGTGAGCTGTTATACTTGCTTCCAATAATAGGTATGGCAAAAACGCCTAAACGCACGGAAATTTGTTCTAGATTCCACAAGGTCCGTATAATAAGCTACACCTGACGAAACAATTAAATTATTCAACATAGTGTTACGTTCATATTGCCAGAGATCACACTCCCAGAGTATGTGATGGGCCGACTGCTCGTATTGCAAATCCACTGTCGAACATTGGCACCATGGTGAATCAATAAGTTTAAATGAGAACAATTTGCTTTTAAAGTTGCCGTGGCCAGTAAGAAATTGGGCAACACAGTGATCCACCTCCAACCATGTCCTCTCCAGCCGCTCATGCACGGATGGGAAGAACTGATATAGGTGGCGGCCCTTAATAGAAGATGCCCATCTACCCTGCCATTCAGTTATAAGCTCATCCCAGACGTCCGTTATTGGCTTAAACAATCTAGCAATTTTATTTCTATCACGTTGTGCTAGAAAGCTTGCTGACAAATTAGGTCTCGCACTGTAGTACATAGCAGCACGTCGCTGCACCTCAAGATCTACCGGAAGTACGCCCGCGAGCACAGGTAGGGCTTCAGTGCTAACCGTCCTATAAGCCTTACACAGGAAAATCAAGGCTAGACGCTGGCCTTGAAGAAGTTTTCGCCGTACCGCGCCTATTGTGGCCCTATCAGCCCAGACAGGTGCCCCGTAGCACACACATCCCAGGTAGGTTGCTCCGTATATGATCCTGAGCGTAAGAAAAGAGAGACCCCAGGTGGCTTTTGAAATTCGCGTCAGCGCATAGAAGTTATTTTTGGCTTTCTCACTAATAGCCTTAATGTGCTCAATGAAAGAAAAGTTTTTTTCCAAAACTAGACCGAGGTAGCAAACCGACTCCTTTCGTTTTACGGAAACGTTGTTAAATTTAATAGACGGCCACGACTTTAGATTTCCTTTAAGCAATAGCTGGTAAGTTTTATGGGGTGCAAAAGTCAAGCGATTTCGTTCAAGTATATGTTCTTGCTCAGGTATTGACAATCATCCTGTGTAGGGGATTTGTTTATTGCAGACTAGCTGTATAGCTATTATTGACCTAAACCCATTTTGTTTTTAAATTTTTGTATTACATATATATATATAATTAGAATTTTTTTACATGTGTATAACTACTTGGTTTCTTCCAGATTAATTTTTTATTAAAATTAACAACACGTGGGTAAGGTGTAAATTGTAAAATTGCTATGTAGGGGCAAGTGTCGTACCTTTGGACGGCTTTACCTATGGACACCATCCATATTACAAAATATAATTAACATAAATTCCCATCTTGAACGCATCCATAAAGTATTTTATGAGGTTGGCAATACTGACGTGTCGCCATTTTCATTTCTGTCACGGTTTTGTTTTGGTGCGTCGGCAAAAATTTTGAACACAAAAAGTATCACTAATCATATTGCAAACACGATCAAACCGATATTTTAGAACAAGAATCTTAACTGACACGCCGGAAAAAAATGAAATTCTAAGTGAAGCATTAAAAAAAGCTGAAAAGAGGAAAACAGCAGTCCAGAAACCGAACAAGAAAAAAATCCTTCCAACGCGCTTTCGAATGTTAAAAATATTCAAATAATTAAACAAGAGAAGTTATCATTTGTTAGATGCATGAAGTGTAAAAGTTATTCCAAAGATAAAAACCAAATGCTTAAATGTAGTTTTTGCAATCATAGCTATCATACTTCTTGTGTTCCGAAGTCACACAGAGAAAACTTTGAGTCTGATGATGAGGGTGAAAGTTTCGTTTGCGTTGCATGCTACATATTAGATAACGATGACGAAAGCGATGATGATACCGATGAATCTACTCAAAATTTGTATGAAGCGTATCGTGAATCAAACAAACGAGTTTAAATTTACGTTTGTATTGAGTTGTCTTTAGAATTGTAAACGTTAAAGTTTTGAGTAGGTATTTGGGTATGTAAACCGTTATTTTAAGTTGTTTTCAGAAGTCTTTAAACGTTTTTTTGTTTGCTTTATAGTCTATTTTATATGAACCGTCCCCAGGTACAACACTGTCCCTAGGTACAAATTTACTGTATATAGGTACAACCGCCTGTTGAACCTGTGGACAAATATAGTGTTTTAAAAAAATGTTGTTTATTTTCGTAAGCGTAAGTGATATTAAGACGACAATTTAAGTATTACAAAGACTGATTATCTCTTAAACCATGTGATACGTTAAAAATAATAAAAACCTGACTGATTCCGATACAAAAAAATGTTTTATTACAAATTCTGGAAAGTGTCCACATGTTCCACACTTGCCCCTACTGTTTCACAAAAAAATTTACAAATTAGAATACTTTCCGATATAATTTTAAATCCAAATACGCAAAACGGTCAGACTTAGCAAATCCTCTACACTATACCTTCACCATATTCTTCACATGATTGGTCTGACGCCGGTCCATTTATGCCATCTAATAGCGAAACAGAGAGCAGCGATTTAGAAGAAATTAATTCAATGGCTGTTTTAATGGATTAAGATAATCCATCTGATGATAATCTAGGAATTGGATATTATGCTTTGGTTAAATTTTCAAGCGGCAAAAATGCCAAATACTACGTAGGTAAAATAATCGATTGTAAAAATAACGAATTTACTGCAAAATATTTGAGGAAAAACTCAAAAGGATCTTTTTCTTGGCCCCAGGTTGATAACGTATCCATCATTACAAGACTCGATATTGAACAAAATTGGCTACATCTACTACGTTAGTCGCCGTGGTGTATTAAAATTTAATATTGACTGCAAAATTCCAATGTCAAATATTTATTACAGATTATAATGAGTCCCTGAGTACAGTCCTGTTAGGAGGGTATCCATGGTACCCTTCTCACCCCGCCCGCCGTTCGTTACCCCGCAACCCGCTGTCTTCTTCCCGCGCGAGCGCACCACCAAGCAGTCGGCGATCAGCCCCAACGCGCGCTTCCTGTGTCTCATGTGTATGCGCCCACGCCCTATAAATTACGTGTTTGTCAGACTTTCTAATGTATCGCGTACCTATATACTTACCTAAATAAACGTCAGTGGAATACAAGTGGTGTCTCATTTCACGAACGTTATAAGATCTAATAATAAGTCTGAAAAAATGTAACCAAATTGTAACCAATGATACCTAATATTTTTTAAATTTTA